TCAGCCGTCTTTTCATACGTGTTTTGCTTATTTAGTTTTATTGAGGTTGATGGGACAATATGACCTCATAGGTTTTCTTTCATATGTAATTTATGAGGACCCTGAAAGGGACCTCCTGGGTCATGGATTCCCAGACAACCATGTTGGATAATCTCTCATACACTGACCATTCTTCACTGTAAGTCTCATTAGTGTTTTTTATTTCCATTACTTCTCTTGGAAGACTGTTCTATAACCTCATTCCTCTGATGCTCAGAAACCGTCCTGTAAATTCCACTTTGAATTTATTCATGGCCAATTTATTCCCCTGCACTTTTGTGCTAACATTATCATTTTTTTTTTAAATTGAATAGGCTCTTTTCCCTCCCTAACATTTGTTCTGTCACTGTATAAAGGGAAGACGTGTATCCGTTCTGTTTTCATTTTGTGAAGCCAAACTTGGTTGTTTAAGATGGATTCTCCATTCCCTCATCATCACAGGAACATTTCTTTACACCTATTCCAAGATGAGTTCAATTGTTTGAAAGCAAGTGACCAGAATCATATATAATTATTCATGATAAAACCTTTACTGGTACAATATGATGGCATTCTTCCCTTCTTGTCTTAACTGGAAGTACTTTATATCATTACATCTTAGAACACCATTTGCCTCTATTACTGTGTGATGTACCAGATAGCTTACAGTTATGCTGTGAACGGTTAAGACACACAGCTATTTTTTTTTCCTCCACTGCAATTTTTAGTCAATCAGCGTTCAGATTTACGAGAAATTCATGCAGTTAGCTGCTGTGTATATGGCCTTATACTTCTGCACATTTCATCCATTTTTAGTGTTTCCAGTCTTGAAGGTTCTCCAGCTTTTCCTTCACAGAGTTAAAAACTCTTTAGCTATTCATAATACTGCTTGGTGGTGTACGTTCAGCAAATGTTAGCATGCCCTTATCTTTAATTAACAATTAATGAGCATTTTTAATAGATGTTGTTCATGGCACTCCACTAGTAATCTCCATCCGATCCGATGACATCCCTTTCCGCATTATTTGTCTTTGTTTCCCTTTTACCCAGTTTCTTACCTGCCTTAAAATTCTTATGCAATCTTTGTTTTCTATAATTTCAGTTGCTTAAGTAGTGTCAAGTCCTCTGGCAATCCTTCACATTTCCTCTCACCAGAAAATGTGTTATCTTTGAGGAAAAAAAAGATAAAAGTTGGTAGGCATTACCTATGTTTAGTTTTTATGTGCTCTATGTCTCTAATTAATTATTCTTCCTTCTTTCCCTTTTTCTCCTCCTTCCATTCTGCTGAGGCCTACTGTCACTTTTTCCTCCTCCTTACATATAGATGGGGTTTTGGCTATTCTGCAGCAATGTGGTCCCTACTTGATAGAGCAGTTGCCAGGTTTTGCCTCTGGACTTGTGGTTCTGAGGCAGTCTCCCAACAGTGTCAGCATACTAAGTTTTACTTCTACCTTGAATACCTGTGTTTAAACTCTTCTTTACTGAAAACAGTTTACTGAGGCAAAGGATTTATTCCATTTTGGTGCTACACATAGATTAGCTTTAGTATCTATCCAATCATTACTGTATAGCAGCTTCACTTTTTCTTTTCTGATTCCCTTTTTGCCTCTGTGGCTAAACCTTCTATTATTTGTTTTAATTTCCTTTCCAAGGTCTAACTCAGCTTGACTTTTTGGCAGGTCTCACTTTATCCCAGTATTACCTGACCCCTAAAACGAATCTTTTTTCTTGTTTTTTGGCAGTCCTTTTTTCTTTTTTGCCCTGTTCATTGTCGAATTCTGCTTACTCCTAGTATCTCTGTGGGTGGCAGGGAATACGTGTGCATCTGTGTGAGCAAGGGGGGGAGCATTCATATAGTTTAGTCTGAGAGGCTCTTTCCTTCAAGATTTTTCACCTCATTTGAAGTAAAAGATCCAAAATTACTTCTTCCATCTCTTTCTTCTACAGTCCAAGTGTCCTCCTCACACATCAAGTCCCTTCACTTTGGCTTAGAGAAGTAAGGCATATGGTTTGCAAAGTTTGCCCCTCTAGAATCAAGAACTCCACTTTTGATTATCCTTTCCATTTAATTTAAACTGATGTAGGGTGTCCTATGTCTACTGAAAGTAGGCTACTTACTACACCGGCCTTTCCTGCAATGTCCTCACTACTTACCGAAACAAAGTCTAAAATAACCTCATTTCTGGCTGGTTCTGTGACTGTTCTGTTAAGCAGTATGTCAGCTAGCACATGCAGGAATAATTGGGCCGTACTGTTATTAATAGCATTTGTTCTCCAATGTATATCCATGGATATAAGTTATTTCCATGTGGTTGGACAGTTGTTCTGGCTGCACAGTTACTTGGCCCTTTGATTCAGTTAAGAATTATCTTTATGCATTGTAAGAAATATTAAACACACATCAGGAGCCAACTGATATTCATTAGCCATATAAGCATGTTACAACAACTATATTAAACTACATGTGATGTACATTACGTAGTTTTTATGCCATTGGGATAGTTCTGAGAATCTATTTTTAAAAATAGTTTTATTTCAACAGTTTGGTTACAGAGGAAATGAGGCTTAGAACTGCTCAGTTGTTGGGCAGTGAAATCTTGCTGAGGATCTGATTAATTTCCAGAGCAGTGACCAGGGTGTGTATGATGCTTCTGTGTTTGAGTCTTTGCAACCTCAGAGATTAAAACACTCCTTTATTTCACAATCTCAGAGGAGCAAGGCAGGCTTGTACACTGGAACCTATAGTCTCCATCAGACCATTTTTATTCTTTTGCATTGACATTTCTCTTCATGAGGGCAAGGTGTATTGACAGTATAGTATAGAATTATTGCAAATAAAGAAGGGTCTAATGTATTTCCTATTATGGTAAAGTCATTGCATGTTTAGGAATTATGTTAAAATAAATTCTGAGGGGAGGAGAGATGTAGAAACTCAAGTGGTTAACAGAAAAGCTACGACAGATTCTGTCTCTTGTAGACCAAGAGAAAACTGGGTACAGTCTGGATTCTGTGATTTAATGATTAAGTCAAAATTGCATGTTCTTTGTATTAATTGTAAGCCATTGATCTTGTGTTGTAATCGTCATACTGTCCAGTGTGTCAGCATAGTGAGTCTGACCATTGGCAGACGATGAGAGACATCTACAAAGACTATGTAGGCTCTGCTACAACTACACAGCAAATGTTTTGCTGAAATGCAGACATTTTGTTGTAAGTTTTAAAAACTTGTTTATCAGATTTGAAAAAGAAGAGAATAGTAATTATTCGTTAGGTTGTCATTTGAAAATGTAGTCACAGCACAGTAAACAGCCTCCTAGAGATGCTGATCCAGATCCCATTGAAAGCAAAAGAAAAGGCTGCTGTTGGATCTGGTTCTAAGAGCTGAGAAATCTAAGCTGCAGACCTGGCTTCTGTGCCAAAGAGAGAGAGGGAGGGGAAAAGACAGAGAGAGAGAGATCACAAGCACCATAAACAAAATGAATAAAACAGGATCTTAAAATGTATGGTACCATCCAAGTTGCTTGCAAAATCACTTTTTTTGGCACAAAAACTAGGAAGGCCACAGTTTAGATTTCACAGGATATTAAGGACAGGGTAGTAATATCAGATATATAATAACAATAAAAATACAGTGTTGTAAAATACTATATACTTCTTTTTTCCCTTTTGGAAACATACCAGGAAGTTTTCACCTTTAAACTAAACACACGCTCACAGTTTATGGAAAGAAATATTCATATTTACGGCCTGATCGTGTGAAGTGCCGAGAACTGTTCACTTACATTATTTCTGAAGTTAGAAGGCACCCGGCACATGCAGAGTCAAGCTTTTTAATGTACTGTTGGATTCAAGGGATGAAGCAGTCAGCAGAGCTGTGGCAGTGTTTCAGTGTTGCCAAACTGTAGAAACTACTTACTTCTAAAGGTTGTGTACAAACAGATAATAGGCTAGATGATGATCCACTTGTGTTGGCAGATAGCAGTAACAGTGGAGCTGCTGGACATTCCCATGAGACTGTGGGCACCAGAGTCTAGGTTCCTTGGCTGTTAGACGCTAACTTCCAACAGCTACTCCATAAAGGTTCTCTAAATAAACTCTGACGCCAAAGTCACAATCATAGAAGTTAAAAACGGGATTTGAGTGGTTTCTTGAAGTCATTCTTCAGAAGGCTAGGAAGAAGAAAATGCTTCCTGTGGCATTGAGTGATCTCTTCTGAACACTGTAGAGATGGTGTGTATTCACGTGTAAAGAAGGCAATTACAAAGAGAAGTCTTCCACTGTTACTGCAGATTCTTCAGTTGATTGCCAGTCCTATTTTGGTGCTATGGTTACGTTATAAAGCCAAAGCTTTAAACTTCCACGTGTCCATCATAAAAGTGGTTGACAGAGCAACTTCCTCACTCTAACATTTCAGAAAAGGAAATTATCGGATGTCCCTGTGGAAGCAGAAGAAGACTATACTAAGTTTAACAGCAGCAATCCGAAAACCAAAAAGGTAAGCAAAGCCTTGCATTCACGCATGTTTTGCTAAAGCATAGATTAATATCCAACATTAGCACAATGTGCCTACTTTTCTCCTCCAAAACATATCAGAAAAACAAGTGGCAGAAGTCTGTAGTTATATTCCTTTGAAATTTTCATTCAGATTTAATTTTACTTTGATAGTGTCCCATTCTGAACTCTTCTAGAATACTGTTTGACTGTATTTTATCAGTGAACATTCCAGTGAACCTCACAGACTTTTGACACGTGTTAAGGTGCTCCGCTAATGTTTGCAAAGCTCTTTGAGATCTTTACATGACAAATCCTATGGCTTAGTGATAGCAACTGTTAAATTTCAGTTATTTGAAAAAGAAACAAAAATGGCAGCATTCACTTAAATTCCAAGGGATGCTAAGACAGGCTTTATTTTTACCGAGAAATACTCCTTGTGCACTTACTTGTGTCAACTTAATGAAGTTAAATCAACACAGAGCTTGGTGATTGCCGGCTCCAACACAAGTTTGGAGGCCAATTCAAATCGGAGTCCAGTGGTGCCTGCCACTGTACTATTCCTAGGAGAGCAACAGAGATGTGAAAAGAAATAGATTCTGTCTGTGCGTGCCAAGGTTGTGAGGCTTGCACTGGCTTATTTCTCTGAACATTGAAAGAAAATTAATCCTTCTCCAGTCCAATGGGAACTAAAAAGATCGTCTGTGCTGGTCTTGTGACCTTCAGACTAATGCTGACTACTCTTCATCCCTTTGCAAAGAGAAGCAGCTGGTGACAGATGCATTCCTTCCTCCTCCCAAAACCTCCAGAATTTTTTGTTCTGAGGGCACATGCTGGTTTTGAAGTAAGAAGAGGATTGCCCCCTAAAGTGAAGGTGCTAAATAGTTTAAACCATGCATGTTCCTTCCCTTTCCCCCAATATGTACCTATAGCTTTTGAACTGAGATAAAGCTAGAAATAAACTGAAGAGAGATAATTCATTTTAACATTAAATATGATTTACTTCTGAAATAATGAAGCACATTGATGAGAGAATCTGGGAAAGAAAAGATAGCTCTTGGACTCTGTACAGAATACTACTCTTTTTTAAATACTTTGGCAATGTTTTTGTTTGTCTAGTAACACAGACGATCATAGTGCTGTTGCATATCTCCATCCTATCCATAACCTTCTAGCTGATCCCAAGTATTGTAATTGTGAAGTCCTGCAGGCTGAGGAGTATCATAAAGAAAGGTCAATGCAAAGCTTTCTTAACAGGGAAAACAGCTAGAGATTTCAAACATAGCATTTTAAAACGTAAGAAAGAAAAGAGGTCAGCTCTGTAAAATGTGGTTCATAAAATGTGTTTTAGGTGTAAAAGTCTGGAAAGTTGCCCCAGTGGCCGAAGTGCTTTGCAAATGTTAGTTACCTTCTTCATTCTTAGTTCTTCCATCTCTTTTCCCTTTATTTCGCTCTGCATAGAGTCTTTGATAATAAATCCGTGTGAATTATTCATCATCTGTAATGCAAGGCTGTAATTCAGCCTGCTGACAGCATAATCGTGAGATTGAGTCGGAGGGTACAGTATGCATCTGTTACACTGCATGCATTATTCCTCTTAATGTACACTCAGGGATTATCCCAAAGTAAACGTTTGAGTTGGGATACCTCATTCTGCAGAAAGGAAAGATGTTTCATCTCCTTGTCCTTGTAACTGATTATCTGTCTTTGTCTGAGGTTAGAGTAATTCGTGACAAGTATTTTTCTGTTTGAATAATCTCAAATTTGTTTTGTAAGGTTTTTCTCCTACAATTTAGAGCCTGCATAACATTATCTTTACTGCTGTGTACTAAAAAAGCAATTCAACTTCTTGTTTGACTTCTGCGTTTAGGAGTTTGTAGCTTACACTCCCCTGCTATGGAGATGCTCTTTAACTTTTTCTGTTTATCATTTTACTAACAGGCAAACAGCAAGTTGTCTGCGGCACAGAAGGCTCTGGCCAAAGTTGATAAGAGTGGAATGAAATCCATTTCTACTTTCTTCAGCTCCAAACCTAAAGCATCAAAATAAAGACTTGTTTTTCAAAGTTTTATACAGTGGTTATTTTTATGTTAAGCTAAAGATGTCTCCGGGGTTTTTGTTAGTATAGCATAGGCAGGGCCTGTCTGTGCACGTGGTGGAGTGTGATGCAGAGATCTGTGAGCTAGCGTGGGACAGAGCTGCCGGGCCTCAGCGGGGCAAGGCAGCACCGTGCCGATATTCCAGCCTGGGTCGGGAAGCCAGCCTGGCTGCATTGGCGTGGTCCTGTGGGCTGAGAAGCAAGGCTTAGCGCGGTGCCGTGCTTCCTGCTGCTTGTTCTAGAGCAAGCTCGGTCAAGGCCACCACAGAGTTTTCTCCCTCACACTCCATTCTGGACTGGAAACATGCCCTCCTTTGATGAGTTTTTAAGGAGAGTTTTTTCATTCATAAGGAGCATTATTTTTTGAGATTTATCTGGAGTTTTTTTACCCAGTGTAACACCAGAGTAGGATGGCTTTGTTAGATTTTTTTATGTTGACCCAATTTTAAGTGCTGATGTAAGCACTGCTGTTAGTGGCAATTTATCAAGGCAAAGATAGTGTCTACATTGGGGTTTGGGTTGTTTTGAATACGCTAGGTACAAATTGCAATAAATGTCCATGTGCGTGTAATGCAATAAAGTGCTTTGTCTAACGAATTTGTGCTTGTTGTATTTGCTGTGTGTTTCAAGAGTTAGGGTAGACTTCAGGACATTTCTTAAGGGATTTTGGTATTTTCCTGTGTATAAATTTTATTCCTTAAACAATTACAGCATCACTTTGGGCTTACATGACGAATCTCTTAACACATAGCAATATAGGGGTATTTTTATGCTCAGTTCCAAGGTCAGTAGGTCCTTACAAAAATAATTAGGGGAAGATTTATTTCAAGGCAAAACTGGAGTTTTTAAAGAAGCCTATTTCGAGCTGGATTCAAAAGCTTAAGTATGAGTGTCTTAGTGTCCTGGTTTCAGCTGGAATAGAATTCATTTTCTTCCTAGTAGCTGGGAGAGTGCCGTGTTTTGGATTTAGGTTGAGGATAATGTTGACAACACACTGGTGTTTTAGTTGTTGCTAAGCCATGCTTACACCAAGTCAAGGACTTTGCAGCTTCTCATACTGCCCTGCCAGCTGGGAGAGGACACAGCCAGGACAGCTGACCCCAACTGGCCGTTGTGCTGAACAATAAAACTGGGAGGAGGTGGCCAGAGGGTGGCAGCCCGCTGCTCAGGGATGGGCTGGGCATCAGTCAGGGAGTGGTGAGCGATCGCATTGCGTGTCACTTGTCCAACAGCTGTGTGGTGTTTAGCTGCCTGCTGGGTTAAACCACAACACTTTGATAAGGTTTAGTTTTATGAAGTTTTGCACAAGGTGAGACTGTTACTTGAAATGCACCACTCACTCCTGGGTTCCTCATTACAGAATATTCCTATATATTCCAAGGGACAGCTGTCTGCTGTGTTGCAACTTCCCCAATTCACAGAATTGAAAAAGAGGTGGCGTCACTGGGATCACTTGTATAGGTCTAGCCAGTTCTGCATGACGCTCAGAGTTTCATCCACCAGTTGTTGCACTGGGTCATTACTGTGGATCAGCTACAATGTGTGTTTTAGAAAGGCACTCTTAAAATACGTCACTTTGGTACTTCAGCTCAGTATAGAATCTGCCTGTATCTCTTGATAATAAATTTCAGAGAAATCAGGAGTTTCTTCATTTTTAGTAACTATGCCGTTTTTCCACTCCAGGCTTACTTGCTGCCGTTTACAACCCTTGGATTTCAGTGGTGTCTGTTAGGTCAGGGAGCTCTGGGTCCTTCTCTTCCAACCAGAAATGAATGAGAAGCTTTGCTGTGTGTTGTGTGCAGTGTTGCAATTGTTGTTGGGGTTTGTGTGCCTTTCAAACCAGTGTTTTTTTCAAAGTTTCAGACATATTTTGTGAATGGAGAAGTCAGTATGGGTAGAATTCCAGATGGAGGAAAATATTTGGAAATCTATGGAATTATTATCTCTGATTACAGAGAGATTTATTTAATGAATGCAGATGGCGTCCCCATAGCATACAGTTAACATTCCTGGTTTTAAAAATGTTTATCTGAGGTGGATTATCCAGAACCAAAATTAAGTTCCTTAGAAAAAAATAATTTTCAGGCATTCTGGGGAATCACTACTGTGAGTCTTCCTTGTCTCTGAAAATCAGCCCGTAGTATTAGTGTTTGAATGTAGGTTGAGAAGTGTGTGATTCAGATGCAGAGACTACTGGTTTTTCAGTTAGAATAATTCTCCCAAGTCATTTGGTGCTTTAATAAAATTCCAGTCATGAATGTCAACTTTCTGAAACAATATAAGGGGGTGGGGAGCAGCAGGGGGACAGAAAACACCTGCGTGGAGAAATTCCTATTATTCCACACTGCCTTTTTGTTCATCTATCTTTACCAGAATTTCACCAGCCCTATAGGTAAAGTTTCCTTTTCTGACATTAAATGTCAGACAAGTTTAAAAGTCAATAGTAGTGTCATTGTGTGTGACAATTCCGATGTGCACCACCTTTAGAATTGCCGTCTTGCTTTTTTCCTACCGTACTTGTCTAGGCCTTAAGTGCAGACCAGCCCTGTAGCAGCATGTGCGGGTTTATCCGATGGGCCTTTCCTCTGATGGGAAGGAGCTAGCGTTTGGTGAGCCCAGGCTGAGCAATTGCGCTCGTGACCTGGAAGGGGTAGGTTTTGAAAAACATTCGGCCTAGCCCAGCAGTTTATTTGACAATCAAAGAAGCCCCCCAGGTTCATATCAGTAGGAGAAGGGATGCACCGGCGATGGCAACTTTTGAAAACCACCACTCAAAAGTGCAGGATAATTTATGAAAAGAAAAAAAAAGTAGGAACAGGCACACGCTGTCATGTTAATGGAGAAGTTTTGTGCAGTAAGCAACATCTTAGGCAGTATTTTGGTAAATGAGAGGAAAATCTGTGATTCTATGAAAAGAATTGTCTTATCTGTTAATGGAAAGCCAATTCCAAGTACTGGAAGATGTTGAGAAAGCATGGGATGGATGTTCCAGTGGAAAACCAAGAATGGGTGAGAGTTACATTGGAAACAGGAACTGTGAGGTGGGACAGATATATGGCAGAAGCTCTTCTAGATATTTAAGTTGGCTAGTTTTATGGGTTTGTTTTTTAATAGTTCCAAAGTTTTGTGAAATAACTTTTGGAAATGCACCTTTTCATTGACTGAACAGTTCAAGAACCTTTCTTCTATGAAAAAGTCCCAGTTTCTCTGGTCAGAATTTAGGACGGAAGGGCAATCCTGATAGAGATGGGAGGCCCTTGTGCTGACCTCTGATCTGGGATACCAATTTTTAGTTTTTCTTTCTCTGTACATGACTCTCGTATCTGCCGCTGCACTCAGGGACCGAGTCGAGTCCTTCCTCTGTGCCTAGTTGCGTTGTGCTTTACTGTGTCACATCTCGACTTCAGCTGTCAGCTGTACCGTAACTTACAACAATAGTAATTTTATTAGTGACTGTGCTTTTGGTTGAGCAGGAATTTGTGCATGACAAAAAAAAATAAGCCACTTCCAAAAGCCATTAGAGCTTTCACGTGAAAACAAAAACTCTTTTCCCCTTAGGAAAGAATGAAATACATTTGGTAACTTTGAAACTTCCTCAACATGTAGCTGTAAGAAGTTATGAAGAGCATATGGTGCCAAATACATAAAACAATATTTCCTACCACAACGAGGATTTAAATATAGCTACTCTGCCTGGCCAGCGGTAGCAGTAGGTCATTATGAAGTGCTGCTTTGCTATTTCTTCCTTGGTTAGCTTAGTATGAAACAATATGCCAGCACCATTATCGAAATGTGGTCTGTCTTTATTTCTTTTTCTGGATTAACATGCCATCTCTACATGTTCATGTAAATATCTGATGAGTTGTGATGCTTTTACAGTTGTTGTTTTGGGATTAAACAGCTCTTCCACTTTTAGACTTCACAAATGGCTTGACATCAGTAGGCATAGAAAACTTCATATGGAAATACTAGCGCTCACTTAGGGATACGTAAGGGTTGAACTTGCACATCATTTTTGGTCTTAAGTAAGAAACTTAGTTCTATTTGTAGAAGTGACAATTGATGATTTGAATATTTTCAGTGGAAAAGGTGGAATAGTTGGCAGAATTTGCATTCAGATCTGAAATCTTGAAGTCTTCAGTGATGCTTGTGTTCAGGTGTTCAGTTGCATCTGACTCAATGTTTTTTAGAGGGAAGCTAAATAGATGGATGCTTTTTGAATGGATTAATGTTTACGACTAGGGTTTTCTTTTTCCTTTTTAGATGCCTGCGCAAAGACGTGCAAAGAAGAAATGAAAGGACCGTAAGGAGACTCGCTAATATTATTTTAACTTGCCATAATCTCAAAGCAGCTTTTAAAGGCTTTTTTTACGCACTTTCTGAAAATAAATGCTTGAAGTTAGACATGCCCAGTTCCAAGAAAAAGCAAATCTCAGCAGATTAACATTGTTAAATATGCGGTGTGTTAAACATACACTGCTTCAAATTTTATAGCTTATACGCTATTGGTCTATCGGGCCCTTCCAGGAAAGCACTTACGAGCATGCCTAATGTTAAGCACATGAGCAGTGATCTTAAAGTCAGCAGTGCTGTTCGTGTGGATAAGTGCTTTGCTGGATCAGCGCCTAAAGTCCTGTTAGGTGCTGAGCATCCTGATCCATATCCAGCAAAGCACTTACGTCCATGCTTATCTTGAAGTGGAAGAGCCAGTCTAACTAATATTTGTGCATTAGTGCTCGCCATAAAATCTCTCTTGGCACAATGACTCACATGCTTAAAATTAAGCACCTGCCTAACTATTTTGCAAGGTCAGACCAGCAGCATCCTTGAGGAGGTCTTAAATAATTACTTGATTTTGTATGAAATTTCTTTTTTTGTACTCTGTTTTAACAGTGTATGATTTTAGTGGCCATAATTACAAGTTTTAGAAGCTACATAGCAAAACATGTTG